GTTTGCCTTTCTGGCAGAGATGGTTGTGTCATGTGTTTAGCTATAGCAGCTTCAGCAAAATAAAAAGTAAGACACAGACCAAAAATAAAACTGAGGACTAAATATGCATACACACACTTTTGATCTCTTGCTTGCCACAAAAGTGCATTTGACCGATTTGACCCAAGTACTAACGCCAAAGGCAACAGTCGCTGGCTGCTATGTGTTGCAGTGTTAATAGATGCAGATTGCCAACATTTAAACTAGGAGAATAATGATGTTGCAGCCTTTTACCTTTGAACTGACTTCACCCCCAAAAAGTAGCTGTTATATTTTCTGTGCTATGAATGGAAGAGATACACGAATTATCTTATAAATTTGCCAATTGAAAATCCAGATCATAAAATGATTCTCAACCTTGCAGTTCTGATTTGAAGTGGAAAAGTGGAGCTTGGTAGAACCAGATTAGTAAAGGATGTCAAAATACAATGAGGACAAAGTTCCTCCTTTGGATGCTTCCTTTTATTTTTTTTTATATTGATGTTATTTGGAGATTGAGTACTTTATTTAAAATATATCTCAAACCTTGTTTGAGATCTCGTTTGTATGAGTTGAGAAAATGTACATGAATGGATACATATTAAATAACTAATATTTTTAGTTGTATGCTTGTAATTCCTTGCAAAGCCTTTTTTAAAATCTCTGGTGAAATTGCAGTCTTCAAGGCAATTTTGTATTTGTTTGCTAACCCTGAAAATAGTTGACCTCACATAACTGACCATGGTTCTTCATTGCAAAATCAGTGGCTTTGTTCCTAGATGAAAAATATGTTTGAAAGTTGCTCAATTCTAGGTTTTCACAGTATTACAATTTCAACCTTGTTACACCGCTTCTGAAAAATGCAGTACTTGATGCCATTTTCATCAAGTATTGCATGAAAATGCCATGCTACAAGAATGCCATTTTCAGTGCTACAAGGAGCAAAATGTGAAATAAAAGACTGATATATACTAATTGAGAGGTTATTCAGACTTAGTAGCATATGTCATTCTTTTTCAGTTTTGGAATTTCTGTCTCTTGATTAGTTACTTTCTGGAATTGAAATGATGGTAAGAGACGAGGTACAGTTTGATTTCAGGGAACACCAGAGCATTATTAAAAAGGGTTCCTATTTGGTAAATCAGGTCTCACTCATTGCAGGGAGATGGCATGAGACCCCAGAAAACAATAGTGTTGGAATCTAATAAAAAAAATTCCTTTTTAGTTCCACAGAGGTGAAATTTAGATGTTAAGACATACAGATAATAAAAAAATATATATATGCATGTATATTTAAACCCAGGCTGGACACATTTCCAGTCCAACATTAACTATAAAATAGTCAATTTGTGTAGTTTTATATATTTGTGATTTTAAGCATAGAGTCACTTAAGGTAAAATGATTATCAATTAAAATTTTGTAAATTGTTTACTTTAATCAATTCTTTACGTTTCCTATGCAAAATACCTAAATTAGATTTTCTGTGAGTGTGTCTGCATGTATGTGTCAGAACCAGGCCAGTTCCAGTAAGGCGCTTCCTCTGATTAGAAATCCGCTGTGATAAGATGAAGTGGTAGTGTGAGTGGAAAGGGCCGAAGACGAAGGGAGGAGATTTGTGTGTGCGTGTGTAGGCTGGGATAGGGGGGTAGTTGGACGGGGGGTTGAATTTGAGGTGTTACTCGCTTGTCTCTGAGGCCCGTCTGTCATGTACAGCATCAGTCATGCTCTTTCACAGCAGTTTTATTTCATCCACCACTCCCTTTAGTGCTTTGATGGCGGAATTCACTGATACTGCCTTGTGGGAAGGACTGCTGTTTGGGAAGCGGGTGTGTGCGCTGTGTTACATGTTGTCAAGTGCCTTTAAACTGTGACAGAGATAAAAATCAAAACCAAACAGAAAAATTACCACAAGTGAGAAGTCTAGATAACTTTTTAAAGAAAAAAAAAAAAAAAATCTGCTTGCGTCCCCAGTTGATCTAGCCACTAAACATTCCTTTGCTTTTTCTGAGAAAATTTTAAATCTTCTCCTTTCTTGTTTAACCATCAATGTTTTTGACGGGAACATTTATAAAAATGCTTAGTGGGGATGGGCAGTTATGCAGTTGGTGGATTATTTTAATGTTTTCTACTGTGGGAGTAGATACTTTACTGTTCCTCAAGTGAAGCACAGTAAGTAGCTGCAGCCTTTATGTTCTTTAAAATTTTTACCCATTCTAATCTCTGAGTTGACATTAATCACAGGAGTGGCCATAACCTAAATTGGGGCGTGACCTAAAATATTAAGAAGTTCTGAATGCTGATGCAGCAGAAATAGCCCAATTTAGATGCATTATGTTGGTGTTGTGTCTTTAACAGACAGCTTTAGCTTCACTTTTGCCGATTCCTGCTTCCTCATTCTAATTGGTTTTAGTCAGACACTCAGAAACCTTCCTTTTGTGGAAAGGAATGCACATCCATCATTGCTTCTCTCTAGCTTTTTATATCTTTCCTGTAAGTGCTTCTTCTTTCCTGCTTTTGCCAAATGTCTTTTGTGACAGACTCCCCACTGCTCAGCTCTCAGAAGAGTATCCTTATCTTCCCATACTTCCCGGGTGATGGCGCAATCTGATAATTGCAGCTATCTGCTCTCTCTTTGATTGATTAACCAGTGACCTTCGACCTCCAGCAGGACACGTTAATTGGCTGATATATAATGAGTGGATTTCCCTGAAGAGGACCCGTTCTCAAGCCAGGGAGGTTGGGGGGTGTAGTTGGAAAGGGCCAATCTAATTAGGCAATTTAACTGATAACAACTGGGGTGATGTAGACTGAGTCTATGTGGGTGATGCGATTTGCATCTTGTCGGTATCTCTTAAACCAAATGGATGTAGCACAGTTCCACATTTTGTCACATCGTTTCCACTAATGCCAATACATTTCTCTGGGAATGTATCTTGCAGGCCAAAACAAAAGGGGCACAGTTGTGATTATGAGAAAAAAAAGAGTTTTCAGACATTACACTTAAATTAGTTCATGACTTTGCTCTTCTTTGGACTAAAATCTATGACTCTGCAAATTAACTGAAGCTTCAACAGACTGGGTAAAGTCTGTGAACAGCAACTTTCAAGGCTTGCATCATATTCTCAACTTTATGAGTTTGTACTGCACCTCTCTAAACTCTTCTATTATATTTCTGACTGTTTTATCCTGTTGGAAGGTGAACTTACACCCCAGTTTCTAAATGCTTTTCTTCTCTGTTAAGAATTATTTATAGGATTATGTTAGTTGGAAGAAAATAAATAAATTTAAGTCTCTCCTGACCAGTGTGTCCTCTTCCATAAATTTGCTGGTTTCTCTGCATCGCCTCTTGTAAACTATAAACATGACTTCCCTATTCAACAATAGCTTTCTTATATGGAACTCCATTCCAGAGAAGCCACATTTATATGGCACACAACAAATAGTCATTCTATCCTCAGATTGTCCAACCCTAGCTGTGAGTTTCTGCAGCTCCTCCACACTACTATTGACTGATGGTTTAATCTCTTCCAGCCTGACTTGCAGCTGATTCCTCTATTTTTTTTCCTTCTATTTAGCAGTGTTTGACTCAGCATTTACAATATTATTTTGTAGTATAAACAATCTTTAAGCTTCTTCAAATGTCCATTTGTGACCTGACTGGTGTATTCCAGCTGTAATGTACAATATGAAATTTCTATACCTTTTACAAAACACTCTCATCGAAACTAACTTTAAGTGACTTCTGAAGGCAGTTACTTGATCTATAATTTTGTTAGGGTATTTGACTAACAGGGGAATTCCACAAAACTTTGTGTTGGTCTGTCATGTAAAATCACAATAAAATAAAATAAAATTTGCATTTCTCACAAATGTAAATATTTAAGAGGTCTGCATACTTTTACAAACAACTGTATATCTATGAGGCAGAGAGATTTAAAGTACATTTTAAAAATATGTGTTATGTGCGAGGTTTAATGAGGTTTCACCAGGCTTCAAGTTTTAAAAATCAGATTGACACAGCATCTTAAAGAAGTAAGCAGAAGTCTGTCTACGCACTGCATTAAAAAGCCCAATAGCACCAAATACAAGATTATATTTCTCTGAGTGAATAATTTAGTTCTTGGATTTATTATTTAATTTAGGTTGTAAGTCTTAAAATTTTGTCATGATTCACTTTCATGTTTTCCCGAGCAAGAGCTGTCTCGCCACAAATTTATTAAGAAACTGAAAGGCAATTCGGCCTGCATCGTTGAATGTTAAGCGCACATAAGAACCAGGAATGTGAGGGAAGTTATGATTGGTATCATATAGGATGAACATGCAGTGTTTGACAGATGTATTGCAAAATAATTATTTAACCTTGTATATCAATATGTTTTCACTGATATTTTTTTTTCTTTTTCAGTGATTAAGTTCAAGCTGCATGAATTGCTACCCCATTAAAAACAGATGCTATTTCTTGCTTTATACTTTAAGTTTCTAACAAAGTTTATTCTTAAAAATCTTGTGGAGAAGAGTTGTACCCCAAAAATTACAAATATTGAACTTGTATGACCTTGTTTTGGTTTCACTGTAACAATGGGCTCAATTTTCTTTTTATGTTTGGGAGTAATTTCCTGCAGCTTGACAGACGTATTACATCATTTTATTTTTGACCAAATCTTTCAGTAAAGTTTGCAAAATAAATTTTCAGTGCTGTCCAAATTCTAGTTGTCTTTAAATATATGTTTCTAGTGCAACTTTTGCAAGTATCTTTCTATTTTCTAATGTTTGCTGCAGTTCTCTGGTAATTGGCCCTCAGAAACTACTTCATTTCAAATTTATATGCCAAAGTAGTTATCTCCTTACTGTAGTGTCTGTATTTTATGCTACAATCTTATGATGCATTTTTATGTCTTCATTCTTTCTGCTCTTTGCTTTATATTGCACTTTTTCTTTTATTGTCCTGCTTCGACATCTCTCTTTTCCTGCTCACACAAAGATTGTGAGGAGAATGTAGTCAAGGAGGAGCCACGTAAGTCTAAGTAATTACTCAGTGTGTGGTTCTGTTTGTTTTTCTTTGTTTTTGTCCATGGTGAGCCTGCTGTAAGTGTGCATATTTGTGCTCATGCTACTAGTCTCCATCATGTGGGAGCTCCAAGTATCCCTCTTCACTTTTTAATTGGATACAGGATTTCTTAAAGGAGAACAAGACCACATGGAACAGCAGGCATACCTTTTCCTGCGGATTAACCCCTGTGTTCCTAGACGATGTTCCCCTCTTTTATATTCCACTATCCGCTCCTCTCTTTTCAGCACACACTCTTGATGATTACAGCATCAGACATTTACCCGGCATACTCCAAGGGTTGCACGTTTGGTTCTTTTAATCTGGTGTCTTAGGTAATTAAAAGCATCCAGGACTTCCTCCTTGTAAGCGTGACTTGAGAGGGTATGTTTTTTTTTTTTTTTTTGTATTTGCTCAAATCTAAATTTTACACTTCCTGGTCAATAGAGAGATGATTTAGCAAACATGTAAAAGTTCTCCTCTCTCAAAAAAAAAAAAAAAAAACATCCACAACCTATTTAACCCCAACAATTGCCGCAAGGAAATTCTCATATCCTATTCAATATTAAACAAATTGATGAAAATCAGTTTAGCTCTGTCCAAAGTATTACTGAAACCTAGATTAAAGAGGTGTAAGTGAAAGAGACATTTTTCTTTGTATGTTCTGGTCTTTGTGGCTCTAGACAACACCAACCAGGATATCCTCTAGTATTAACTTATTTTCCTTCTATTACATCCACAATTTTGCTTTTAGTAACATTTCTGTATTTTTTTCTTCATCAGCTAAAAAGGAGGAAGAGGATCTTGAGGAAAAGAAATCCATAAAGAAGAGGATTAAAGAGCTCAAGGTGCTCGATCCCAAGATTGCACAGAATCTCTGTAAGTATCCTTTTCCTTTCAGGCCACTTCTCCCTTGATTTACATTTATACGAGCCTTCAAAACTTCAAGTGTTGCAGGCCTTTTGGATGCTCTTATCCCTCTTTTGATTCTTCTTGTACTTTTGAATTTTGATGCAATTTTAAATAACTTGGCACAGAATGGGTTACTCAATCATTTATGCAGGTTTAGAATATAAATAAAGCACAAGAAAAGCTAAGGTGCACTCAGCACTTAACTGATACAAGCTTAAACAAGTGTCACAACTTGTAAATGCTCTTAACAAGGCATATAAAAGTGCTTTAGTTGATTTTGTGCAGTTTATGTTGAAGAGCTTTTTAAGTTTTTGTCATTTTTTGTGTATTGGTCACTTGAGTGCACATCTGCATATTTATGCAATTGCAAAAGCAAAGGTACAGTAGATCTGCCTATAAATGTTTAGTGAAGAAACACAGGTTACAGTTTCCCTTTACAACTACAATCTTTTCAGTATTTTAAACTATCATAGGTATGTACTCAGAAGACAAAGCAGAAGAAATCTCACTACTTCAGACGAATCACTGAAAACGACCCTTGATCCTCTCTAATTTTCACACTTGAGTCTGAATGAAACAATTAATAGAGAATATGAAAGAAAATGTCTTAAAATGCATATTGTATATGATCTTTTTACATATTTTATATAAAACCGTTTTACCAACAATATCTTTTTATCAGAAACTCTTCGTAGAGGTAGGGTTGGGGTTAGGAGAAAGCTCTTCTGGTAATTTATTCTTACTCACCAGAATAGTTCTTTGCTGCAAAGAACTATTTTGTAAAATAAATACAGTATGACAAAATACCATCTACGTCTACTTCAGTATTATGCTAGCAAGACTGTATTAAAAATGAAGTTTGTGTACAATTTAATTTACATGCTGATTATTTTTTCAAGATTTTATTCTTTGACCATATTTCCACTGACTTTGGTTCAGATGGACAATGGGAGCCATCTGACTCTGGCAAAGAGAATTTGAGTCAATTATCAATTATAAGTAAATAAATAATAGATTATCAAGAATTTATCTAATAACTAAGTTATTAGTTTTCAAATATGAAATATAAAAAAAGAACAAAAATTGCAAGACAAAAAAACCCACAAAAAATAAACAAACAAAAAACACAGAAGGGGCAAAATGTCCACTGAGGCAAGTTGGTGTCACCTTTCATCATATGAGCACCTCATTAACTTCAAAAGGCTTTGTGTTTTTTTTTTCTTTTGTGCAGTAGTCTAGCTGCAGGTCAGGTACATTGTGCTCCCTGGTGAGTTGGTGTAAAAAGTTGACACTCTTCTCCTGTTCAAATTGTGAGCCCACTTTCAGCTTCCTTGGATATAAATTTATTTGGCCAGTGATCGGTGATAATTTCCTCTTCTGGTTAGGAAGTATCACATAATTAGAGCAAAACACAAATCAATTTAAAATTTCCAAAGAAGAAAATTGCATCCTGAGTTTGATGTACTTTTGATGACCATTTAATAATAAACTCACTATATTATCCATAGGAACAGATGCTTTTAGCAGGGGTGCCCAAACTTTTGCCCTTTTTCTCATCCCTTTGCTTGTTGCCATAGCTTGTTGCCTTGATTTGCTTGTTCACATTAAGGTGGCACTTAATGTGAACCTGGCTGTTGATACTTCTGACTCATCTCTTCACACAAAGCTAATTAACAATGTTAAGGATCCATTAGGGAGGAAAAAAATGCTGTGGCACATAATATCATAGATCTGTCTCCTTTTTCTTTCTCTCTCTGTGTCTCTCCATCTTATTGTCTCTCTCTCCCTTTCTGTTTTTCTCTCTCTCACTTTTTCACACGCATATGCATTCGCACATGTATGCTTGGCCCTAAAATGATCGTTTAAAAGCACCCGGCATTAATGAGAATCCTGCTGATCTCTTAAGCACTCTCGGATCTTTGCACCTCATTGGCTTATATAGAGGGGAGCTGTGACCTTTGTTTCATGTATTAAAAGAAAATGGGACTAATCAGCCCAGTAACAGTGATAAATCATGCAGTAGAAATTATAGAGCAGAAAAAAGAAGGGAAAAAAAACGGGGAGAGTGGGCAGGTTTACAGTATGTTTTTCACCACAGTAGGCAAAGGGTTTAAAAGGCTTGACTGAAGTTGATAATGAGTATGTGACTCAGTTTTTCTCTTTTATTGATTGAGTTGTGCTTCACTGTTCAGTTTTAGTTAAATTCTTCCTAATGAATTGTATTTTTTTTTCCCACAAGTTCAGACAGTAAAAATGACAGTAGTTGGAAAAACAAGACCGTAAACACATTAATCAAAACACTGAGCTGTTATGTTGTAATTAAGAAGTAATATGTCAACTAGGAAACTGGGGATGGGCACCCTATATTCAGATTCTTTATTGAAGCAACAGTATCGGCTCAGCTGTATGTCTTTTGAAGTTAAATATGTGAATTTATTTACACTTCACCCAAATACAAACATACTAGCATCTTTGTATTTGTTTTTTTTTTTTTTTGTTTGTTTGTTTTGAAAAAGCTTAATCTGGCTGAGGTTTATGTTTTCTTTTTTTAATTCTTAGAGCTAGAATAATTATCTATCCTGATATAAACCATTGCTCATTCCATTTCTTATCACACAGTTAGTATTGAATATAGCCAAGATTTTTAAAAATTAGACACTTGATAAAAGCTTTGTCTCATGGATGCATGCATTGATGCAGCTTTAATTGGATTTCTCTTTGCTTTCTACTTCATTTACTTAATGTGTTCTTTTAGTGTGTGCTGGATTTCTTTTGTTTCCTATTCCTTTATTCTTTTTTCTGTTTCTGTTGTTTCATTTCTTACGTTGTATGAAACTTGTCTAATAAACAGTTGTGAATCATTCCAATATATGTAAAAGTAATTTGTTTTATTTTCTTTCTCTTTCACTAGCGATCTTCTTGGGTTCCTACCGCATGCCTTATCAGGAAATACGTCGCATGATCGTGGAGGTGGATGAGGATCAGCTCACTGAACCCATGATCCAGGTAGGACAGGCTTTGCATAAAGTTACAAAAATGTTTGAAGCCTCAGCTTTTTATGCATCATGAGTGCAAGGATTTGTTGACCCGCCTACAGTAAATCTAGTCATACTCAACTGTGAGATGGAAAGAATATTGGAAAGTAACTCATCCGACAATATACAACTACATACCTGAGGCTGGAATTGGATTTCTTGTGCTGCTCTTCTCCTACACAGCTACACAGGTTCATGCCCTAACTCTTGTTGTCGTCTTCATTAGTTGTCAACCTTAAAACAGTGCAGCTTAAGGCTAAAATATGGGATCGCTCAAGATATAAAGTACACCCTGATTGTACTACCAGGCAATTAGTTTGTAAATTAACTAATTGAAAACATGTATTGGAGATTTTTTACCATGGCTGATTAATATTATCCTTTATTTTTTGTTTTGCTTTACTATTTTACTGTGAGCATGCGTTTTGATTGTCATATGTATAAACACTTTATTTCAATTTCTGTACTTTTTCTCATCGATACTTTAATCTGTTAGTTTATCTTTCTGTCCTTCTCTTAGAAGCCTAATTAGCAGGGGGGGTGAGATGGGTCACAATATCCACAGTCGTGTTGCAGTTTGCGGTCACATTTCTGCGTTATGCTCCTCTTTTGGGTTTTCCTTTTTTTAATGAACTCTCCAGAAGTAAAGCATCAGGAGATGATTATTCAACACTTGTGGACTTAAAAACAAGGTATATTTAGAGAGATGTCATGAGGTTGTTCTAAAACAGAAACAGGAAGGTAGTTTGGCTTTTGATAAGCCATTATAAGTATTAAAGTTTAGCACTGAGTAATTTATTTATTTTTTTAACAGTAACTGATCTGAAAATGCTTTGAATTTCTTTTAATAAAATTCTTAAGTTCCTGCTCAGAACCTAAAATTATGTTTTAGCAGGAACAATATAATTTATTTATTTCATTTGAGTTCATGTTATGTATGCTGATATGTATGCTGAAAAACCTTTTTGTCAGCTCTGCATTAAGATATGTTGCTTCTGAAGTTTTAGCAGGAGAAGAGTAATTCATTCAGAGTTTTGAATATCTGTAAATACATGTTAGAATTTCTGCGTCCTCCACAGTGGGAGGGGTTTGCTTATATTTAGCTGTCAATTATTATGTTTATTATGCTGTAACGAGATTGCAAGTTTGTGTGTACGGCTTGGTTGGAAGTCACTTACACAGATTCTTTTTGTTCACATAGATACTACTTTGTCGTTCACAGTGCATAAATTTCCTCTCACGATTTATAGTTTCACTCACAAGTTAAAACTTCCGCATTACGCTTATAAGCTCAATGCTTAATGTGTGTGTGGGTGAAATGCACATTCACAACTTTTGAAACTGATTAAACACTGTGGTAATATAGAGATACTTCTCTGTTAGAAGAAGCAGGTCTATTAATTGTCTTAAGATGATGCTCCATAGACAAAGTAACAACTCAGGAATTTTTAGGTTTACAGAAAAAATAAGCGTATGCCTCAAGGTGCTACTTGATTGTAGGTTGGCAAACTGAACTCTCCAGAAGTCTTTCTGGGTCAATTGGGTTTTTGGTTAGGACTCAGTCTTTCACAAGAAAAGGAAATATAGAAACCATCAGAAAATGTTTGAATTGCATTTCAAAAGGGGAGAATGTATATGTCCCAACACTGAACCCTGCAGAACAACACTTGGCTACTTCTATCAGAAGGGTATGAGCAAAACAACACTGGGGCCTGACGGAGCAACAGTGCATACATTTTTATCATGTTAACAAATCTGTATTTTCGCATGTACTTTTAATTAGTTGTGTTTCTTTTATTACTGGTGTATCTTGCTTATAGCCAAAAATGTATTGTCACATTGGAAACTTATTTTATTATTCTTAAGTTACCATGTGACACAAACATGGAATTGTAATTTTTATAAATGTTTTTTTTTCTTCTTCTTTGTTTAATTGGATTTTATTTAATTTATGCAACTAAGAAAAGGTTAATATAAGATAATTTCAAAATGTATGGGACACATGAGAGGAAAAAAAAAGACTAAGAACTCTGTGCAAAACAGATTAAAAACAGTTTGGTGAATTAACTTTTTTATTGGGTTTTTGGCTGACTATTTTTGTACCAAACACTGAGGTTAATGAATGCTTCTGAAGGTTTCAGATTGTGTTGCTGTCAAAAGTGCAGACTGAGTGGAAACAAATAAAAACAAACCTCAGCTACAGAGGCATACATTGAATAATTAATTTGATCAATTAATAGTCATTAAGGCAATTTCAGTTATGGCACATCAATAAAATAACTTTTAATAATAGACAAGCCTTTATTTTATTTGACTCCAGGCACCAGAACAATTTCTTTATGCAAGACTGCAAATGTTGGGTGCACATCAACAATATTCATCAAAGGTGAACTGAAGCATATTTACTACAAGAATATGTAAATAGCATTTTCTTGTCAAAACGGACAACTAACAAAGCAATTGTGTTATTCAAACCAAAAGTATATTAATCATCTACACCCTGTTCTTTAGTAAAAGATTCTTAATTTGAATGGGAAGCTGAAAAATATACATTGCTTTTCAGCTTGACTGGTGGCATTCATTTTATTTTTTTAAAAATTCAGATGACACTTCTGTACTTAGTGAAATGCTTTAAATTCAAAGCAAAGTTCAAATGTCAAAGCAATAATTAGTGTTTAACAAGACACCATGTCCTCTTTACTGAATTTAATCATGTCTGGTATCATGTTTATTGGTGCTTTCATTTCTTTCATCTCTCTTTTTCACACTGTTTGCAGAACCTTGTAAAGCACCTCCCAGAGCAGGAACAGCTGAATGCTTTGGCCAAGTACAAAAACGAGTACTCTAATTTGTCAGAGCCTGAGCAGTTCGGGGTTGTGGTGAGTACACTAATGCACGCACACTCGCATACACACAAAAAACTGTCAGCCCAACTTGGAGTAAATGGCTATTGCTTTAATCACATGCACAAGTAGAGCATACCATTTTTGCCTTTATAATATAAAGACAAAATGCAAAAACCCTGGCATTATGTTACACTATAGTATTTTGATGATTCAGAACCTCTACTTTTTTCTTTATCGCATAGTGCAAATTAAGTGTAGCATGAACAGAATAGTTAAACGGAACATAACCGGCTGCATAGATATAGCAACCATGTTTGTTACTTCATTAATTTTATGGTTATCTAAACTTGTCTTGTATTTGCATTTCTTTCTCTGTCTCTATGAAAACACTAATACACGCACAGGCACACACTGAGTGCGTTCATGTGATTAACATAATTCAAGGCTTTTTAAAATTGTATCATTTTAAGAGGTAGGAAGATAACTAGGACACCTGCGAACTAATTTATGCACATTAAAGAGCAGCACTTGCTACCCTATTATGTCTGCATCATTTTCTAAAGACGTTCCAAAGGAGGTTTATTCAGATTTATTCTTAAAGGGTGTTCTGAGCTTTGTGGGTTTTGTGTTTATAACAACTTAGCTGGTGACAAAAACATCTGACAATCTACTTTATTATCTATGTTTGGGATTCAAATAGAAAAGATATTAGGTTGATTGACAGGACGGAGGAGATGAAGTGTTTAGAACACCTTTTATTGTAAACCTTGCAAAATTGAACCAGGTAAATCCTGTTTACCGTGACTGTGTAGGCCCAAAGCAAGTTGTGGTTTCACCTTAAAAAAAGCTATATTAAAAAATAATGATGTACATTTTACAGTCTTTATTTTCAGTACATTTTCCCTCACACTTTAATTGAGGTCTCCTGTATTTTTAATTATGCCTGTTCAGAGAAGCACATTGTCAAAATTGCTGTGCACACATATATCTTTGTGCAGAAAGTTTAAAATCTTAAATAATAAAAAAACTGCAATATGGTTTAGTGCCAAAAAGTCAACAATAGGTAAAACTCTTTTTCAATTTTCATTTCTTGCATCAAATTTCATGCATAATTTTGAGCTACTGATACAGCAGACTCCTGTATAAAATTCAAGTGTTTCTCAATACAGTAGAATACAATTGAAAAGGTAATTTATTCCAGTACTTCAGTTCAGATAGGGACACCTGTATTTTACATTTACTCATACATATGCTGCAAATGTTTATTTGTGTTTATGTTAATATTGATGACTCTGGTCCACACCTAAGGAAGAACTAAAATAATTTTCTCTGGAAGTTAAAACATAATACTCTTACACCAATAAAAACAGGACATTAATACAAGCATATTATTCCGTGCCCATTTTATGTTTCAAGAGTCACAGGGAACATTGGTGTCCAGCAGACTCCCTCCACAAGGATGACTAACACTCAGAGGTTCACTCATGAAGCTTGCTGTTTAATTATGGCTACATGCAGGCATGCTCTCAGAAAATAAAGTGGAAGAAAACATGTGGCTAAAAACTTTGCAAAAGCAGTATGCATTATTTCACCTTTTGGGGATTTTTAAGAACAGTCCTTAGAGTTAAGTGGGATTGATGAGGAACAGACTCTCTCTGGAGTCAGGACGTCAAAAAGAACTCTGATTGCTTTATTTTAAAATGGTAAAAAAAAAAAAAAAAAAAAAAGACTAGTGCAAAAAAGCTAAAAACACAAAAACACAAATTAGTGCAGTCACTTGAAATATGACTTTGCAGACCTTCTTTCTTTTTATGTGTTTGTAGAAATGTTGCAGGATTCCCTCTGTATTCTCTACCAAGTAGCAACAATAAAGGATGTTTACTGTTTCTACAGCTCAGAAGAGACGAACCACAAAGCAGTGTCAGATGAGAAGAGTAGGGAAATGGAAGGCTGGAAGTTATAAACCAGCAGCCAAGTCTGATGATTATGTTGATTTCCAGAATGTTAATACCATTTGAGCTCCACAAAAGCATTGTTCAGAATAATGTGAGACATGTCCTAGAGATATAATGGATATTCCAGATATTAACCACATTTCCATAAAGTTCTAAGCTTTGCACTTTAAGGTTTTGAAGTTAATAAAGATCCATTTAAGAAATAAAAAAAGAACTCTGTTTACTGCTGAAAGACAAAGGAAAGAAAAAGAAAAAAACATTACATAGTTATTTTTTCTTGATTGGACCATCCTAAAAACATACTGGATCGTAACTTTAAATCCTAAATGTGTTTGTGATTCTGCTGTACTTTGTTCTCTCAAATATTGACAGTGCAGTTTTACACTCTAGCTTTTCTTAGAAAATGTATAAAACTTGAATAAAGGGCTTATTATTCTACTTATAGCTGCTCTCCATTCATCTCCATTGTGCTGAAAGATACACTTATCTTCATTTGGATTAGATCATACCTCTGCCTTATGGCTAATTTGTTAATAATTAGGCCCAGGAGCACAGAAAGGTGCTGGTCCGATGGGCCAGGTGGTAGCACTCTGAACATGTCCTCTAACCTGCCGGGCGCAAATAAATGAGCGGTAGTCTGTGCCTGAAAGGTAACCAAAGGTTTAGTGTTTTCAAGCTGTTCCTGGACAGCTGATAATTGTTTTTCCTCTTATTAAAAGGTGGCCTAAATAAATGACTTTGTGCTACAACAGACATCTTCATCTTTCACGTCTTGTGTACTGCAAATTTTAAGAATTTACCAGTATGGTATCTCTCAAGATCTCTTAATTTGCAAATATTGAGAAAGAGTTTTCATTATTTCAACAATGTATATAAACCTCTCAATAAAAATAAAATAGTTATGTGCACTAATTCACAGGATTCAGGATACTGTGGATATGCAACTGTTAACTTGACAGAATCTGAGAGACAGTGTTTATTCCTAGTTGCACATTTCATTGCTTGCTTGAAATGAAAATCTGTTCAGTACAGACAGTCAAAGAAAATAAAGAGAGCTGACAAAAATTATACTTTTTTTTTTTAGGGGAGCATGGCCTCATTAAGAAAAACGAATGTTGATTTGTTATCTTGTTTACACCATTTCAAAAAAGAAAAACCTACAACATGCACACACATCATTCACAGGTTGGAACATAAGAACTAAAATGTTTGAAATAAAATGAAATAACAAAATGTTTTTTGTTATTTTTTTCTCTGTCGATGTTGTCTGTTATAACTCCATGTCTCTGAAATGTTTACATTTTATGGTCCATGAGTTAGTTTTCTTCCTCAAAAAAAAAAAAAGAAATTCAGAACATTGTGTCACTTGTTTTCAAAAGTTAACTTTCTTATTTTAAAGCTATTCAAGCTGCTGATGGTGTGATGGTGTCTTGTAAATTATTCATCCAATCTCAGGATTCCATTTAGCTTCGTGTTTGTTTCTTGTGTGATTTTATTCTTAATCTTGTTACATAGTTTTCTTTGTTTTGCTCTCTACCCTGTTTTTTTCCACACAAACGCTTTGACAGTCTCATACACTCATGGAGTCACTTTCTAAAATAGTTATTTGATAAGATTGCACTAGCTATAATTAAACCCTCGATGGGGGACATCAAACTGCACAGCCAGCTGTTGTTTAAACTAGACAATCGGAACTTACATCCCGCTATCTCTAACACACGTACACAATCATTGTAGTGGCCAGGTCTTGGGCCCAATGCAATATTTTTCAATTTTCTCTAATTGTGTGAGAGTGGTAATCCAAGGCAGGCTATTGTATATTCCACCCCCTCTACTGCCTGGTCTATATGGACACTAACTCCACAATTAACTTACCAGACCTGGGACTAAAATCAAATCACTGCCAGCATCTATTACCACCGCAAAGCAACACTTTCCTGTATGCAGGTTGCATAAAGGTGCGTTAAATTAGATCGGCTAAATGTTGAAAGTGGCAAAAATGTGATTGTAGATATTTTGAGGTCTGAGTATGTTTTCTGAAGTGGTTCTTGTTTTTTTTTTCCTGGTTTCCTTCAGATTTTCCGCATCCATTTTCTATTTATATTAATGCATGCATTTTCTTGTCACAGATGAGCAGCATGAAGCGACTCCGACCTCGGCTTAGCCACATCCTTTTCCGACTCCAGTTTGAGGAGCATGTAAACAACTTGCGACCAGATATCCTGGCAGTAAATGCAGCATGTGAAGAGGTCAGAAAGAGCCGCGCTTTTGGCCACCTGCTGGAACTGGTGCTCCTGCTTGGAAATTATATGAATGCAGGCTCTCGAAATGCCCAGTCATATGGATTTGACCTCAGCTCCCTTTGCAAGGTAAATACTGACCTATACATATCTTTTTTGTCCACATTCATAGCTCTTTCTTACCCCATTGACACTGGTTCAACATGAGGGACACTTGTTCAATAAAGCTCCTGATACTGCATATTGATTTTATACAGCTGTGCTTGCAGCTGCACACCTGAAGTAGCAATAACAAAAGATTTGACAGACGTGAAGTGAGCCTTATGTAAAATGGACTGCCTGGCTCCTCTTTTGGTCTGCAGCACACTTTATTCTAGTCTGTAATATGTTTAGAAAAACAGCTTTTGCTTTTGAAAGAAGTAAGACTACAAAAGAATCATAAATTGGTAAAAAGGTGAAAGAAGGTTTATTTTTGTAGTGTGTTTACAATTAGAAAATAGAAAAAAAATGTAACTCAATGAAAATATTGTCAAGTAAATAAAATGGACTAATTAAATGGTAATTGGGCTAAGTTTAAATACCACTTTTCACATGATACTGACCACTGACGGAACATTCACCCATTTGCACTTAAAAGTGCATTCCTGCAATAATATGCAGTTAACTAGGCAATTTCATAAGATAAGCGCCTTGCCCTGGGGCACAATTGCTTCTTGAATCTAGCCCACAACTTTTTGATCGCAAACGTTGTGGGCTAGATTCCAACAAAATCCTGTCTCACGCAAATGGGCACAACCAATCCAAGACAATCCAAAATGATTAATTAGCACAACTTAAGTTTCCATAAGCTAAAAAAAAAGTTACCACCAAGCAGCAAATAACAAGTAGAGGTCATGTTTTACTTTACCTACCAATTAATTTTTTGATGTCATATATATTAACTTTGATATATTCATCATCAAAGTTGCAACATTTAATTTCTGGTGTCATTTGGACTAAGCCTTACTTTTGTCAATACAAAAATTAAAAAGCAGGAGAACAATTTGTGGGTTTTTTTCTGACTTACAAATATAAAAAGCACAAATGACATTTCTATCCTTCCTGTAGGTTATTAGTTTATATAAACACACTCTGCTGTATTCTTCAGCTGAAAGTCGTTTGATATATGCCTACCAGCTTTACTATACAAATGGAGGGGAAAAAAATTGTTTTCTTTTCAGTACAGCTGAAGGACAATTTTCAAGTTTGGTCAAACCTTTGCAATTGAATTTTGGTCCAGCCATTCTAATGCAGAATGTTAAGTCTAATCTATTACATTTCATAGTTGTCCTCGTTGTATGTTTAGGGGATCCAGGTATAAGGTGAACTGCTACCTCAGTCTCAAGTCTGTTGCAGATTTAACAATTTTGTCTTCCATCCACAACAGAGTGCTTCACATATGGGCCAAAAAAGTAACATTTTTGTCTTGTCTGATCCAAACACCCTCTAGTAAGGCGGCTGTGTCCCCTTTATGACTTGCAGCAAACTGTAAAGGGAAATGGCTTTCTTTCAAAAATATGTTGTCTTGCATATCTCTTCTATAATGGCATACACAGCTCTTAGTATTTTGCTGCTTTTGCAAGGCAGTATTAGTGAAAGAATTGACTGTGCCTACTGATTTGATTTTCATCTGTTTTATCACAGTAAGGCCTGCAAGACCATGTGAACATACAAGACTATTTTTACGTATCAGTTGGCTTTTATCAAAAAACATTAAAATAAAGGCCATGTTTAGTTTGTATTCTTCTGCCCACAATAGATAGCTGCGGCTGTCCGATCCCTCTGAAAGCATACGCACCCTTCAGGGCTAACCAAACACTTCATGGATGAAGACATGGCCTATAGGTATACCTTTTTGATGAAGACTGAGCACCAAGTATCCCCCGTGTGATAGTGAGGACAAAAACAAGGTGTAATCTTTGGATGAGAAACTCCTGCAGTGGTTACATTAAAGCTGTTGGCACATGTGCTGCAGTTTCCACAGTAACAGCCACCGCAGCCATTTGTCACTGCCACCTCTTTGCCCTGTTAGACTTGGATGCTTATGCTCATATAAACACCAGCGCATTTGCCAAATGTGGATTCCTGCATATTTGATGGACTAGAAACATTAGCAGAACAATAACATAATCAATCAACAGAGGTTTATTTGTGGATTATGTCTTCCATTTAGTTTAGCGCCACTGTTCCAGTGTGTCGATTTCTTTTTTCATCACGCTGACGTTGTCTGACCACGGTGAGTCGATGTCTCGGTATGTATGTATCAATATGTATAGGAAGGCATCACCTTCATGCCTCCCCCAGAGTTTGACAACTTAATACTGTGACACACTTCACAGCACAAGGAAATTGCACCCAGCCCAGCTGGAAAAAAGAAAAAAAATGTTTACATTGTCATCTATGTTTACCATCTATCTAAATTCAGAGAGGGACCTTTTGTGAGTGAGCCATTGAAGCTTTTAGGGAAGGAAGAAAAAAGCAAGGAAAAACCGAAATGAAAAGAGAGATGAGAATGTTTGATTGGAGGAGATAATGCAAACATGATTAAACCCAGCGGGTTTGAGTACACTGCTGTCTACCAATAGATCACCTAGAGAGATACACAGCAACACACTCCACAGGAGGGATGCACAGCAGGGATACTAAGAGGCATCTTGGAATTAGACTGTAAAAGAGCAATGATGGAAATTTATCAGAGAAATTGAAAAATTGTTGTGTGCGGTTGAGGGAGACGCAGCGAGTGCAGGGGGGTCATCACATTGTGAAATTGCATCTGCTGCATAAGTATGAGATATAAAATCATCCATTGCACTGTCAACACTTAACATTTATAACACAGGCATTGAGACATTACTTTTTTTGTCTTATAATACCCAACAGATACTGCCATCTAATGTCGTGGGTGAAATTGAAGTGATACATGGGAAGTCTGACAACTTTTGTCTGCTGCAGCAAACATGTCTGCCAAGACAAGCTCTCACACTGTGATTTTCTTTTTTCTTTGGACAGAGAAAACAGGAACTAAAAAGGAGGCAATTTATACACATACATGGCAGTGACACATCAAAGGAAAACCTTGAATGCCAGGCCCTTATGGTTTGGAAAATTCATTGCTCTATTATCCTCTGTTTTCATATATCTTTTTTATGTTTTTTTTCTCTATGACAACCTGCTTTGGGTCCACTTATCCCCTGGGGGGAAGGGTCAGTGCAAATCAATATAAAATTCCTCAGAGTGATTTTTCCTTTGATGAAACTTTTCTGTCTTGAGCGAACTGGTCTCTTCCAGGATGACAGTGCCCCCATGAAAGGTTACAAGGGGTCATAAAAAGATTGGATGACTATGAAAATAATGTGAGTCATATGTGAGCCTTTTTCAGACTCTGCCAGCTCAGTTGATCATTTATGGAAGATTTTAATCTGTGGTGGACTGCATCCTTCTCCTCATCAACTCCTCAAGTGAGGGAGAATTTTTCAGTTCAATATTTTAGTGTTTTCTATATTAAGATAATATAGTAGTTCAAAATTGTGCAAACATTGAAATATTTAATTTGAAATATTTTAATATTTAATATAAAATTTCCTCCTTTTATTAAAAAGAGGAAATTGACTTTCCTCCTTTTAATAACACATATTCTATATAATGTAAGTAAAAATGCATTTATTAGATACAAAAAATATATAAAAATGAAAATTGCTATGCAGTTTGCCAAAAAAAAAAAATCATTTTTAAAATAGTATTATGTCGAAACACCTTTATTCAACCCTCAATCTAAATTTTGTTTTTTCACAATAATATATATTTTTTTATTTTAGGGCTCTTTACAAAAAGTCCTTTCAGTTCAGTCACACATCCTAAGCTGGGAGCTGGTTCCACAGGAGAGGACCCGGATAACTAAAGGATTTCTTTTGTATTGTGTTGATTGAATGAATCATCACTCCAGCCACTTTGACAAAAATTTCAACTCTGTTTGAGGAATATGTACCTTGTTGTAACTCATGTTTAAACTGGTCGTCATTTGGTTACAATTGCCAGAAGGCTTAGACTCCAAAAACTTCTAGAAAGCTGGCATTGTGAGGGTCACAGCGAAAATTTGTTGGTTCACTTAAAAAATGTTCTCACAATATAAAAGATTAGGAGACGGTTTGCATGGAACAGTGAGTAAAATGTGAAATGCTGATAGACAACTACCACATAACATTGAACACTGAAGTTCAATTGAAAAGTGCTTCAGCAATGTTTCTGAAGTTTCACTTATAAAACCAGAGTTGCATCTTTCTGTGTCTATTTTCTTTAGTAATTGTTTTCATTTTTGTGTTGCTGGATAAATATTTTGAAAGAGTGTTGAAATGACATAACACCGTCTCAGTTTTGCTATGCCTCAAAAATTTGTTGTTTTACAAAGGTACAATTTTGAGAGCTATTCTAGAGGGGCATTTATATCAGTCCAGCTAACGTCAGCGTTCTATCATTTGGAGCATGTAAAAATACTGTCTGACAGCCTCACGACATTTTTCTGCATAAGTTTCTTTCCTTACCTCTCTGAGAAGATTTGCATGTCAGTTTCTATGTCTTAGTTGTTTGACACTTTAACAAGAAACATAAATAAACAAAAATATGTACTTTAGAAATAGTGCAGAGCTGACATTTGTTTGCAGGTATAGAACGTAGCTTTTCATTTTATCCCACATTAGTGGAAGAAATGCATGTTTTAGTTTCATTGAAGGATTTATTGGTCTGTCCTCTGTGTTGCTACAGATGGATCACAAAGTAGAGTAAAAGGAGAATAAGAGTATAGTTTGATCCAGTTGCCTTTTAGTTAATACTTTAGTTTACTTGCCAAATAGAATAAAATAGAACAAAATTACCTTATATTCTTGTACCTTGGTGGGAAAATTCATGTTTACGTGCAACAAAGTGACAGACAAATGGATGCATGTAGATTCACACATAGGTTAAAAAAGATATGGTATGTGCATCGATACAAGCCAATGCGACATATAATTTATCAAATCAAATCAAATGTTATTTGTATAGCACATTTCAGCAGCAAGACATTTCAAAGTGCTTTACATCATAAACACAAAAACACAAAGTCATGCAACATATAATAAACAATACATTGTTACATATTACGTTTCAAATACAATTCTAAACAGGTGTGTTTTTAGTTGAGATTTAAAGGAAGTCGGGGTTTCCGCTGTTTTACAGTTTTCTGGAAGTTTGTTCCAAATTTTTGGTGCATAGATGCTGAAAGCTGCTTCTCCTCTCTTGGTTCTGGTTCTGGGGATGCAAAGCAGACCAGAACCAGGTTGATACAACAACAGCAGATCGTTGATGTATTGTGGCGCTAAACCATTCAGTGATTTGTAAACTAACAACAGTATTTTAAAATCTATTCTTTGAGCTGCAGGGAGAAAGTGGAGGGACTTTAAAACTGGTGTTATGTACTCCAGTATGTCTCCATCGAGACATGATTATTAAATGAACATTTCACATTTAAATCAGACTAATGTCAACTTAATTGAGTACATTTATATAGCATAAAGTTATGTAATGTCCATTTGAAAACACTTCAATATTTTTTTTTTTGGCAAATACAATCTTACTTTGTTGTTTGAGTTAGAATTTTCTCCTCTTAGAAAAGTAGCTTCATTCACTTCATTCATTAGAAGCTTTGTAACGAATGTTTTTTGTGTGTTTTACCACAGTTAAAGGACACAAAGTCTGCAGACCAGAAGACCACATTACTGCACTTTTTAGCAGAAGTGTGTGAGGAACAGTTTCCTGATGTGATAACGTTTATTGACGAGCTGGAGCACGTGGATCGAGCAAGCAGAGGTACATCAACTTTTCTTTGTTTGTAGCTTTGTACATAAAGAAAGCCCTCTAAATTTGTTCCCTTGTTTTCCATATGTTGTTTTAGCTGCTGCTGATGTTATTACATCTAAAAACTCACTGATAATTTATATTTTTACTGTAAACACTCACTAGCATCATGTTCCATTGTGAGCGTTCGTTGTAAAAGCCTGGTATAAACAATAGTGACAACTGAACAGAAAAGCAGAGGAAAAATAATGGGAACAACCTAATAAAATGTAACGAGATACTGTATGTGAGATTTTAGCTTCATCAAATTCTGATGGTAGGTACTTCAACACTTTTTTGTTTTACTTTGCCTTATAGGAAGATATGTATAATCAGTAAGATTTATCAAAATACCCTGTATATTTGGTTTTGTATATGACAATTTTAGAGTAATTGGAGTCTTTTGTTTGCTTAACTGCGTAGCGCAGAAATAGAATGACCTACCTCCACTGAAACAAAACATTTTTGTTCAGTAAGTCTTTTTGTTTTCTCTAAGCTTTATTCTTTTGTAAAAATCTCTTGGGGTTATTCTAGAATTAGATGGCTTGTTGATTCCGTAAACAATGCATTTTATTATTTTACTGTTTGATCCACGTTACACTGCTCATCTGCTCCGCTGTTTGATACCGGCATTAATCTTCAGCTGTCGCACATTTACAAGTAAGAGGTTTATTTTATTTTTTTACAAGTAAATACATCAGGTTATGTCAGCCACAGAGATGAAGAGCAATTCTCTCTTTGAACACGCTTGGAGTTGCTGTGTTGGTTTTAACGCGATTTGGCGTTTTTTTTTTTTTTCTTCTCACAAACATGGCTCCACTCAAAGTGCTTTTAGTCTGGTCCGATTCTCCTGAGTACGGTAAAGGTCAGAGACAAGCAGAGCTGACTGGGTGGTCAGAGACTCGGTCTTGTTCTTTGTTCGTTGTTGCTATAGGCGGCTCTCATGCAGCAGCGGCAAGCAGAAGTCTGTGCAGAATTTGTGTTTGTTTGTGTGTGAGGTTGTTCCCTCACAGCATGTTTTCACCCGGCTCCAAAGACGATTTTTACCCACTGCTCTAGTCCCAGCGGGAGGGAGAGAGGAAAAGTGTGAGGAGGAGAAAACGTAGGGGGATAATTTGTGTGGCTTCATTGTTTGGACTCTCTCTTAAAGACCCCTCTAGATTTTCTTTACATTTTTTTTTCCTTTTTGAAAACGGTAGATGATGACACCCCTGTTGTGGGTTTATTTCTCCCAACTAGACTGCATGTCCACAAAACCAAGATTAATAAGTACAAGGTTGAGATCAATGGGAAGCACAGTTCTTAGATCTTTCCTCAGACTGTGTGACGTCTGCTTTACAGACATCAAGCTGAGTATTTACATCTGTATAGATGGAGTGCTCTTTCACTGTCACAGTCTTTCTCTGTTTCTGTACCATTATGACATGCTCACATTAAGTGTCTTATTACACCACATCTCGTATTCAGACACACAAATCCCATTTCTTTTCAAACGGGGCTCTTGAGTGGCTTCTTTTTCATTAATTTTGACAGCCATTTGAGAGGACTGTAGACACGCTAAAAGGCTGCATTACATTCATAGACACTAACCAAAGAGCTTACTTGGGCATGAAAACAAGGTTGGGTAGAGGTAGCAGTAATGATTTGTGTTCCAGCTCTGAAGGTGCTACTTTTTTGAATGCATATAACACAACCCCTCGTTTCCCCCACTCTTCTCGCAGAGGCGAAACTGTACTTTAGTTCAGCGTTGCTTCGTATCTGTCTTCTTATTTTTGCTACCCTCTCTTCTCCTCAGCTCTGGAATCATTATTTCTACTGACAGTGAGAAACAGTCTTTTTTTGCTGCTTCTGTCATATTCCATGAATCTCTCTTTATCTGTCTGTCAACACCTCTGTGTCTGTCGATCCTTCCCTTCTTGTCTCGCTCTTGTTCTTGGTTTCAGTCTTTCTGTTCATGTTTCCGTTTTTCTCTTTTTTTCCCCCCGCTAACACACACAGACCTGACGAACAGCAGCGGCTTTGGCCAGTTAAGATGGCATAAAGCGGTGCTTTGTTTAAACTGATAGTGTAAAGCAGGCGACTGTTGGAAGGAACTAATGGCCTCAACCTGGTTAATTCATCTTAGAAATATAAATATTACCTTTTGGCTATAGAAATGATGCTCATTTGTTTTTTGGAAGAGACATGCTTGCATACATTTTTGCACAGCAAAAATATAGAAGTTCTGTTTCTAGCATCTTGTTGCATTAAAGAGTCATTAAGGACTTGTGTGAGGACTCCACGACATTGATGTGGCTGTTTAATATGCCGTTCAGGCTCTGCTTTGTAGTTCTCATGCATACCTCATGCAGTCTGAATGATGAGCCGGAGGTTTAAAGTATGTGGAAGGGGCTTTCTCGGCTACATTTCAGAGGGTGCTTTGCTCTTAAGAGTTGCTGTATCTTAGATGTTTAGCATGTATAATGTTTTCTAAATAGGTCTCACATCCACAGCCTCTGGCTCCATCAGTTTAGTCCCACTTGTCTGACAGGGTTTGGCCTCAGAGGGCAGATCTGCATTTCTACACTCTCCTAATTTCCATATATCAAAAGATGATCTATTGTGGACTTGTCTTTAATATGGCTCTTTGCTCATATGCGTAGTTGTGTGCTCCTCTCTTTGTCTCATTTATTGCACAGCAGGTTGACAGAGTAATAAAAGGATGTCAATGGGGAATTTGACCTCTACAAATACTGCAATTATTATTCCTCTAAAACACCCTATATCTGTCTGCAACCTCTCTGGACTCCAGAGGCGTTCAGGTCCCAGTGCACATAAAAATCACTCACGCCTTAATGCTCAGAATGAGAAGGCAACAACAGCTTGGCCAGAAAGAGAATGAAACGTTCACAAACACCACTTTGTCTTTTTTTTCCCTCCTTGTATTTAGTTTCTTAGTCACAGGATGAGCCAGTATATATAAATTCTTCAGTTATGCATTTCAAACATATGTTTATGGTAAACCTTTGTTTTGAAGGGCATTCGTTCCTGTTTAGCAACACATTCTAACTGCCACAATCGCTCTTCAAGTAGGTTTTCCTCTTATAGCATATAGTTCTATGTTTGTCCCCTCTCTTGTCAGTCATTGTTCACATATCTTTCCATGTGAGTGAGGCACATCACAAAAGCCTGCAGATTAGCTTGTGAAACAGAGGAAAGAGGAGATTCCTGTCTGTTTTTGCTTTCTGTCTCGCCCTCCTTTGCTCTTTTCTCAGTCGCAACGTCATCTCACCGGGCTTTAATCATTTCTATTAACGGACTGGCTCTCTGGCAACCTTCCACTTTTCATTCTGCCCACACCTTATTCACTCAAATTTGATTGCCGGGTAATGCAGAGGATAAAAAGCGAACAGGATAAAAAGGAGGTAAAGGAGCAGGCTGTTTACTAAAACTTTCGCTATTTAATATGACTGAAAATATCACCTACTCGTTGAAACATTTAATAAGAAAATATATTAAATTCAGGCATCCAGTGAATAAATAGTGTATCTCAAAAGCATTCTTAGCCCTTGAAATTGTTTTATAGTTTGACATGTTTCAAACGCATAATTAAATATTCTATTATTTTATATGAAAGACTACTGCTTAACAGCAAATACTTGTGAAGCCGGCATTAAATTATTTATTTTTTACAAATATGTATGTAGTGACTTTGTATGAAAGTCCCTTGAGTAAGTATTTTATAGAAACACATTTGCTTCGGGTTTTTTGAGATATTTCTACCCGCTTAATTTTTTTAATGGTATTCATACCATTCAAAGAATGGTATGAATACTTTTCCAAGGCAATGTCCTTTAACATGTATGTTAATTTTCCAGTTCGCATAATGATGTATGAAAGGACAGATGTGTAACACCAAGACCGAGACTAGTTTTTACTATGTGAAGGAGTACAGTATTTTCAAATTGGGTGGATGGATTTAGTGTCACTATAAAAATTATTAATCATTTGATTGTTTTAGTCTGGTTTTCTGTCTGTTGGTGTCTTTGTGTCACCAGACGCAGTGTGTTTAATGATGCTATGACATCCAATTAATGATCTTTACTTAACCAAAGTATCTCTAGAAATCAATCTTCTCTTTTATAGGGGAAAAGTAATCATAAAACCATCACAGGCTTGCCCAATCAATGTGATAAGAAGAATATATTTCAGGTAACAGGTTCTGTTTTCCTGTTAAGCCTAGAAAAGACAAATTCACTCCAGCACAAACAAAATATTGTTGAGGTATTTTGAATGGCTGTACATAGGATTAAAACATGTGCCAAAACACAGAAAAAATACTTTTTTGCAAGGACATTTTTCTTTAAACTAAGAAATGGTCCACAAATTGTTGCTGAGATTGAAAACAACAGAATAAAGTACATTACAGAGGAGGGAAGTGTGCAAATAATTTGGCAACTACATGTGTGGAGTGATGTTTTCACTGCTTTAAATTTAGTTTTCTTTGCTTTCTAATCCTGTTGTTTCCGCTTTGCCATTTTCTCAGTTAAAAGTGACAGACAAGTCCCGCCTGCTCTTATTCCTGTAGAAACGTAAATGTGTTTATTTAGATTCTCGCCATTACCCATAGTGAAAAGACTAAATAAACTCTCTTTTCATCAGAATGTAAAGAATTTTGTTTTCAACATCAGCTATTGTAGGCCTCTGTTTTTTTTTTAAACATCTAGCGCAGTGGGTTTTCATTTCTAAAGGGGGTTTATGTCACAAAGTCAAAGAGAAGCTAAGCTACTCTCTTCTTTTTCTTTTTTCGTAAAGCGTTTATTAGGATCAAGGGAAATGTGAAACTACTTAAGATTAAGCAGCTTATGATTTTTTTTTTTGTGAAGTAGGGTTTAATCAGGGTAATTTAAGCCACATGCTGTATTCACTCACAAGCAAACGTGTCAGCCATGACCAAGGTAACAGAAAGTTAGGTTCAGCCTTCTCCTGTCCTCTCCTGGTGTACAATCCATGCACCTGTTGGTAGAAGCACAAAGGATGAAAGACCTTCCAATTTTAGGCAACCATGAGGTTCACATAGTAAAAAAAAAAAGGGCTTTATACATGCACGTATTTTCTGATCTATGTTTTTCATTTATTCCCTCAACAATTCTGGCACCGAGTGAACCTGTAATAATCATGTTTTGTATGTGAGGCAGCTTTCTCACTCATTTTCTGTTTCTTTTTTTTGTGTGTGTGTGTGTATGTGCGGATGTGCGTGTGGGTGTGTTTCTATTATCCTGTTTTGCTTGCTTGTGTCTCCTCACATTATATCACGTTTGTTTTTGGTTCGCCACCATAAATGTGCGTGTTTGTGGCTGAAAATATGTGCTTGTGTCTTTCAGTCTCAGCAGAGAATCTGGAAAAGAGCCTCAGGCAGATGGAGAGGCAGCTGCTGCAGCTCAAGAAAGACCTGGAGACTTTTTCCTCCACCGATGACCCTAACGACATGTTTCTCACCAAAATGGCTATATCCTTTTTTCACATTTATGCATATGCTTTATTGCTTGAGGGCGGTATACAGTGTGTTAAATGCAAAAATAAATAAATATATAAAACGATAAATGAACTCAGAAGAATATTGCTAAGATCCAATAAATTGAACTTGCTCCAAGTTTCCACCATCACATCTTTTGAATATTTAATATAGTTTGTGTAGATTCTATTGCAGGGAAAAGATAGGAAGATAAGAATGTGCTGCGTCCTCAGCCTTGGTCACACTCGGTTTCCATTTCATTATCAATGATGATGTGCACAAGTAATGAGTACATCCCATTCCACAGTCAACTCGCTATTCCAGCCTCTCCCTCAGCCTCTTTTCTTTTTTTCCAAAAGGTTCTTAAGAGTGAATGCAACTTCAAACAAAAGGCAAAGGGTTGGAGAAGATTTGGTGCTCCACTTGTTTAAACTCTGGCAGTGACGGTAGATGCAGTTTATCCCCAAGCAGCAGTAATGTATTAGACTATTGAATTGTCATTTAATTATCCAGAAACAAAGGCGCTAATGCATGAACAGAGTCAACACATTCCAGCTGCCCATTCGGGATATCTCAGTCCACTGCTGACAGCTGGTGTGCATTTGACAGCAGAGTAAATTATTCATTGTCTTCTGAGGAAATTCTACAGGATCAGGCTGACAGGTACGACTCAGGCCAGGTGTGTTCAATAATACACTCTGTTCCTTGGCCCCTTCATGTAGTTTTGATCAACAGCCTTGGGCTGGGGCACTGATGACTTGTCCTGAGGTAGTTAGCAGAGAACTTGAGAGCAACTCTCAGACAAAATGAATTTCAAGCAACTGTCACTGTTGTATTTTTGTACTTGCATGGTGTGTCGAGGGGCTTAAAGGGAAGTATTATATATTTTTCAAGTACATTGCGCTATAAAATAGCATTATCAAGTAACTATATTACCTCCAGTTATGAAAATAATGGGGGTTTCACAAATTCAAACAACATTTGAAATATATTATTTAAAAGAAATTTTACTTCACAATTTGTTCCCTTGTAATTGGCCTATATATATATATATATATATATATATATATATATATATATATATATATATATATATATATATATATATATATATATATATATATATATATATATATATATGTGTTCTTTTTTTTAATTAATTTATTTTATTTCTTCAATTTGATATCCCTAAAGGAAATCTAGTCCGGGGTAGAGTTAGGGTAACCTTGCAATAGTCATTTTTATTAAAAGCCATCAGAATTTATGTCTGTAGTTTCCCACAAACCACATTGACACAATTAATGGAAGACAGCGCTCTGCTTAGATGAGACCAAAACTGAGGCATTTAGTATTTTTGCAGAACAGAATGTGTGATGTATAACTCTGCACATCATCCTGAACTCAGCATCCCTGGAAGGGTCAGGTTGGGATGCTTTGTTCAGTGAGGACAGGGTAGTTGGTCAAATTTGATGGGCCGTACTAAATACATGACAGTCCTGGAAGAAATTCTGATGAAATCCTGTAAAAAGTTAAGAGTGGGGTCTAGATTAAACTTTCAGAATAACAATAACTTTAAACAGTCAGCCCTTAAATGGAGTGATTTAAATCAAATCACATTTATGTGTTGTGTGGTCCAAAGTTCAGTCCTAATTCCACCTGAAAATATGTGGCAAAAACACTGAACTTGTTGTTAAAAGATGCTTTTTATCTAATTGGAGAGAGAGAATAAATTGTAGACTGAGGGTGCCCGTGACTGATTTTTTTTTTCTTTAGATTTTTCTTTAAAACAAAACCAAAAAAAAGGAACAAAGGAAACCATGTGTCATTTCCCTTTCTCTTTATTGTAAAGAGGTTGTAACATGGCAAAATATAATATAATAATTTTATTGAACATTAGCCGGAAACTGTTATACAATATTGATTTAGAGCTTCACGTACAAGTCTCAACTGTCTAGAAATTTTTCATATTTTTACCTTTTTTTTTTTTTTTACTCGCATTATCCAAAGGTCAGTCATTTTTGTACAATGCTCTTTAAAGTACGCTCCATCTTGTGATCATCACTGAATGTCTGTCAGTTTTCAGTCAAAGCAAATAATGTTTTTCAATTTATCTCAAAGATTCTGTTATGTTCAGAGTGAGCCTCTTAAAAAAAAAAATCTTTCTATTGAAGATATGTGGCAGATAATACTGCAATGTGGTCCGAAGGAAATTCTCAGAATTATGATTAGTAATTCTGAGAATTTCTTCTCTTTGTCTACGCTTTAATACATTTTTGTCAGGCCAAACATGAAAGGCTAAGGGATGTCTTAAGTGAAAATTTCCTCTTCACATTTTGCCCCTCTTAAGTACACAGTTACTGGGTCATGGGGGCTGCTGTGGCACATCTGAATATGAGCTCAGGCTTGTAAAGGTGGCAGATCAGATCATGACAAAAACAGAAAGGCGATGGAGAAATGGAGACTGAAGAATGATGGAACCGGGCGTGTGGGGGGGTAAGTGGAAAATCTCAAGGGAAAGAAGGTCTTGAGATTGAGTTGCGGAGAGCCGCGGGTTTCTCTCGAACAGGAAAGAAGTCAGGAGATGGGCGAACAAAAAGAGGACAGATAGTACACTCCACAACACTTATCACCCTCAACTCTTAGCTTTTTTTCCTCTCTTTTCTTCTTTCTCCTACTGACCTCCCTAATTCCTTCCTTTCCTCACATTCTGGCTTGGAAACATATTACTGACAAGTCGGTCTGGGCGGAGAGCCTATCGAACAGCATTTATCCAGCTGTGAATAGGTAGTCTCATCGTCAGCCAGATTCGGCTGAGGCCAAACCTCAAATAGGTCCATCAATTGAGCTATAATGAAGGTGCAAAATCAGAGCCAGAATGCTGCCCACACACATTTGTATGACACCACACTCACAGTCCTGCTTCTTATCTGCCATTAGATGACAGTGTTAGCCATTAGGTTGTTGATTGTGTATTCAGGATGTTTCAAGAAAACCTAATCTGAAATTTTCAAAAATATGAACCTGGATTTTTTTTTTTCCTTTTGGTAACGCTGCAGAAGTTTTGACTTTCAGCTCACAATGGTGAGCATGTGCAAAAAAATAGACAGGAATATGCATTTCAGAAATTATTTTAGAGGCGTGTGTGGAGTCAGATTTTCCTCTGCAGTACTGCATGCCCTGATGGTTGGCACAGAGCTTTTCAGCGCTTTCGCTCCCACACTGACACCTCTACGGCACACGTTGACAGAGCTATTACAATATTTGTCTCCCTCCACACACAAACACGCCAAAGAATAAGAAGCTGTCCTTTTCCTTGCTTCACCTGGGTGAATTTGTGAAGATGTTTCAGTCAGATCCTGCAGGCGACTTAAAGCCATTGGAGGTTGCTGTAGTTATTAGATTTTCCTTTAATAAGGGATCATTTCACTACTTTAAAATCGCTTTGAGATGCAAAGACCTATTGGTGCTTAAAAATTTTACATAGACAGTGTGAGCACATGCTGCAGCTTTTGGGTGGGCTTTGAAATGACATCCTCATGAAAGTGAGAATTGCATAAATATTACATTATATAAAATCAGTACTCAATGCAGCAAAGCTGAGAATTTCAGTGTTTTCGCATATTTGACCATGCTACCTTTTTCTTAGCTTGAGTTTATGTTAAGCGGTTATGTGTGTGAAATATATTAAGACACTTTGCCAGAAGCTGAACATTGATGGTGTAGGCTGCAGGGGCGCGAACACACTGTGAAAGCAACCTGACAGATTGTATCCGAGCCACTAATGGCAACATCACAGTTTACATCTGACTGATCTCCTCACTTTCCAAAAAAACGCAGTGGATGTTTTCGTCTTTGCCGTCCAGAATCTTCTGATCAGCATTTGATGGATGCCCTCATATGTGATGGATGTCTTGTTGACCTTGACATACACCCCGTTACAGCTTCAGCAAAGTGGCGCAGGAGCAGTATGGAAAGCTGGCGATCATGCACAGCAATATGGAGACCATGTATCAGAACCTACTGGAGTACTTTGCTGTTGATCCCAAGAAGACGTCTGTGGAGGAGTTGTTCACCGACCTCAGCAACTTCCGTTCCATGTTCACAGTAAGTATGCTAAATCAAACACTGGAGCTGTCCTTCGTATTTAGCTCCCCACTCCTTTTTTGTAATGTTTACAGAGTTGTTTTGTAGTGATAAAGTTTTTTTTTTTTTTTCCATTTTGAAAGCCTTTGACAAAACAGTTCTTTACTCTAAAACAATTTACTCAGTCAATACATACCGGTGGCTCGCTTTCTTTAGGTTGATTGTGGCTTCTGTAAGTTGTTTCCACATTTCACTGAATTGTCCTGCTTGCATATGAGCACCAAACAATCCTAATCTTCAGCAGTATTATGATAGACATGAAAAAAATCTGCTGTTACACTGTAATTATAAAAAAGGGACACAAACTACTTCTATGATTCTATAACTTTAATATTCTAATATGCAGTGTAGAGCGATGCTTTGGCCACTCTCAACCAGGCATTCATATTATTGCTCTGCTCCTTAGACTTATTTATCTGGTGCTGCTTTGAGGTCTGGATTTGTGCTGACCCACTGTGTTAAATCAGGGGGATTAGTACCATAGGTCACTGGACATGACATAAATTAGTAGCTAATTAAGCGACTAAAGTTCTTGCACTGCCCCTAACTTAAAATTTACCCTACAGACACTAATAGAGTCCATGCCCTTTTTATGGCATAGAGATGTTTTCCTTTAGTTGAGTCTTATTATCCAAATTTTGGAAAATTTATGTACTCCCTTGGGCCAGAACATAAGCCCCCTGACTCCTCCTTTAGAGTTGTCACAATAAATTATACATACTTTTGCTCAAGTGAGCATGCAATAGAGAATTCATTTGCTTTTTTAGTTTCAACATTGTAAAAATGGAACATCAAAAACTAGCCCTAATTTCTTCAGACATTTTAAGAGGCAATTATGTGTAGACACATTGATTTATTCCCACAGCCTTAGATCATTTTTATGCTTGAAAGATTCACAGTTGAATGTCAATGTTAACAATACAAATGTGTTGATGTTTTTTTGTTTTTTTTTTTAAATACTTGCATAGGTTAGCTTGGTGTAGATTTGCATTAACAACATGTATATAAATTAACAACAAGACCTATGCATTAACAATGTACAGTTTTTTCAGCTAATTAACTGTAGAAAATTAAACCAGTTTTTTGGCTATGGTTTCAGCCATTTAGTGCCATCTCTTGGCATTGTGTCCTGCTTTAGCTTTTATGCTCTGACCAAACATAACGTTTAATGACTTGGCTTGTGAAAGGTGAACAAGTCAAGTGTTATAAAGACCTGCATTATAAGATCAACACTCCCAAGGTACCTATTTATTTCCCTGTGATGGGTCAAGGCACAAGCAGCTTACACCCTCAGCATTTCGTACAAATTGTCACATCACACAGACATGTCTTGGGAAATGCCATGGCCAGGTCAGCGAACACAGGCATACAGTAAATCTCCGCATCCTAACCTCTCGGTCAAACCTGTGTCAGCATATACCAACCACACTGTGCCAAACCCCATGCTAATAGCTTTGTGCTGTCTCCAGTCTTATCCCCAAAGCAAACTGAGCCCTTGAATGTGTGTTTTAAATTCGTAAAGCATGCATGCTTGTGCAGTTTGTTAGTGTGTGGATGTTGTTTCTTTTGGGCAGTTTTTATAGGAGAAGCTTCTCAGTTTGGTTTTATTTGCACACGAAGCGCAAAGACATACACATACTTGTGCACGCATGCAGCAAGTGCAGTCACCCGTAGGAAGAAGACCCAGGGCAAGGCCCACACATCTGACAGAAATCCAATTGAGCGTATCTAATAGTGGACATCCAGGAGAGGAAGATGGTGAAGCAGACCTGCAGTGATGAAAAAAAGCGGAGGGCAGTTATTTTAGTGAGCTAGTTTTTTTTTCTTTCTTTCTCTTTCATTTAAATTTAAATATATAAAGTCTAACAAAATATATATTATGTGGTAGCATTCATTTCATGTTCATAAAACATATCTTGACAAAAGAGAGATTAATGAATTTGAAGTCAGAAAATAAATTTTTTCTGGATTTCTTCATGAAAATTACTAAATGCACTAAAAGTCTCAAATTATTGATGAATGCAAATCAAGTAAGCAGATTTGACAGAAGCTTGGAGAATATAATGAAGATTTCCTGGTCAAAAATGACCAGTAACCAATTCAGAATGACATGAAGTGTTTTAACTTTGGCCCTTTTTACCACGAGCTCAAAGTGCAACCAAATCAAAGTTGATGCAGACAAAGCAGTTAATGATGCATCCTAAATCTAATTTAGTGAAAGTCCTGCTGCTGTGAGCCTACTGTGATGCTAAAACTCAAATAAAGACCGGGACACCGCCACCTTGTAATGCAGGAATTACCACATGGCTTCATTCAGTTTGGACACCTGATTACTCTGCTCTGCTTTGCTTTATGATTCCTGGCGTGTGCGGCTCAACTATTCAGACCTCCACCTTGTTGACACTGAGAGCAGAGATGAGAAAGAGTGATGTAACTTGATTGCCATATATGTATTGTCCTCACATCTGCACATTGTCATTGGCTGTTGACTACACATATCTTGTCTAAAGGTTGTAACCCTGAAAGGCAATATGCACCACAACATAAGATACTAGGAAGAGGGCAAGAGGGCAAACATTTACCAAAGTACACCAGCACACTCTCATTCTGCTTATAAAAGATGATAAAAAAAAAAACAGAAAAAAGAAATCACATTTTTTCTCTCAGCACTATCGGATTAAAATAATGAATGGCAGATGATTTCAGAACTTTGGATAGTTAGATCCAAAGTACCCCTGTTAAGCAATTTATGTACTTATTCATTGTATGAAATAATAGTCTTTGAACATCACATAATGAGAACCACTCACTCAATATGTGGGTATGTGAAGAATGAAATGGAAAATGCTGTGCGTTCCAAAAAGAATTTAACTTTAACAACTCAAACTTTTTGCATTAAATCATTTTCCAGTTGCTTATCTTTGAAACTTCTCACAAAATGAAGATGAACAGTCAACCTTTAGTGTAGTACAAAACCCTGGGTCCAATCATTGGGTGCTATCTATCTCGTTAAAGGACAGAGACAAGTTGAAGGATTAAGATATACATTGTACCAATGAATCATTTTTCTTAATAAATAAGTGACAATGTGTAAAATATTTGACAAAATTGTTTGAATAAGGGTTCTGTTTCTGTTTAAGGCAATAATTCTTTAGAAGGTGGGGAGCACTAAAGCATTGAAACATTTTCAGAACTAGCAAGCGTGTGTAGGTGTGAGCTGGTCCTAATTGTTACTGAAAATCCATTCAGGATTAAATGACTCCTGTCACCTTCTCTTAGTGTTTGCCTCCACTTTACTGTACCAAATCAGATTCTCGTTTATTGCAAACTTCTCTTGTGAAGAAATTGTTGCCATGAACAACCAATAGTCATTCCATCATTTCAGAGATAAATTTATGACATAGAGGCCTTCATTTAAAAATAGTTAAAAGAGAGCTCTGAATAGCTTCAATCACAGTAATTTGGCATTCATCTTCCTCATGTCCTTTGAGCTGTAATACCTTCCTTTCAAATCGAAGACTGTCATTTGTATTTTCAAACCCCTTCTACAGACTGTACTGAGAAGGGAACTTATTTTATTTTTGTAGGTGTGTAAACATTTTAGGTCAAAATCTAAATTCGAAAATTTACTAAACTCCTTGACCTCAATATGTGAAATTGTTAGAACTAGCTTCGTACATAGATAAATTTCCCCAGTTCTTGTTCATAAACCCTTTTAGGTCCCATCAGGTTAGAAAGGTGGTATTTTGAATAAAGCAAAGCTAATCAGCGGGTCCGATAGTTGTGACCAGCTCGCTAGAAGCTCAAGTTACATTACACCCCTTTACATGATGCTGCCACAACCGTACTCTTTTACTGAAAACAAATAACGGTTCTCCCAGAAAACTTGCTAAGGCCGGTGGTTGGGTGATGGGGCAGTGATTCATCCAACCGCCTGCCATGTTTTTGAGTTAAAAAAACGTTAAAAGTTGACAGGAAATTTGAAAATATCGCTTGATATTTATTATTATTGAAACATTGGAAGATTAACACCTAAACACCAACTATAAAATCTTTAAAAAATGCAAACATTTTAAAAAGATTTAAATAAATAAGGAATGCTTAGCCTGGTGGGGGCACAAGTAAAGCCTGGTTGCCCGCCAGGCCTATAAACCCTGCAAATAAAGATCCGTTCCTTAAGCCTAAATGGGTCAGATTCCAGGTAGATGTTGGCTTCCTGCAGTGGGGCTGTCAGGTGACAGATTATTTTTTAGCGAAACACTGAACTCTTCAGTTTCTCTGATACGCTTATCAGTACATGACAGTGTTCCTCGACTGCAAGTTGCTTTTCATAAGATGGTGTAATAAATCTAATTAGCAGTAATGTTTGTGATGCTGATAACCATGCTCATTATTGTTAGTTTAGTTGAACACGGTCTTTATAGAACGCTGATATTAAGACTCATTCCCACATGACTGGTGGTTTAATAGAAGATTGTATATCATTATACCTTATTTAAACTGTCAGGTTTAATGATAGGAACATTTTAGGACCTTGATTACACACTTTGTCGTAAACTATTATGAATCTTCAAGTTTGGAATTGCATGAAAAAAAATCACATTTTCGACTTTTCCACAAAGTGATGAAAAGCTCTGCACCAAATTTTACAGAGTTCTTTATTTACCTAAGCCCCAGCTTTCTGCCAAGTTGTTTCCAATTCTCTGTGGTATTTTTTTTTCCTTTTTGTGCTCTTGATGAAAAATGGCAGAGAGCCCCTACATTCATCTTTAATTTCACCTTACTGCTTTACCAGAGTCAAGGAGCACAGTAGTTTTAGGTCAATCTGCTGATAAAACAACCTACAGTTAACATGCAATGGAGGCCATATTGTGAAGATATTTAATAGTATGCTTTATGCAGTAGCTGATTTACTCATCTCAGCTATAGAACACACAGTTATGAAGTAAAGATAAATGTGGTAATTTGAAAGTTTATATATTTGTCTTGTTCAGGTTGCAATTTCTCTGTATTCCAAGTAGTTTGCTGACATTATACTGATCACGCTGAACTGTTTTTGAATTCGAGTTGACTGTGCCATTCAGTGTTGTAGTCAAGACTACCTAAACTGAGACCAAGACAAGACCAAGATCAGAGGCCCAGGCTATATGACACAATAAAATGTTAATTATGATCAAAATTGCTAATCAAATTGATTTGAAAGATTCAGACCTAGATATTAAATAGTTAGAGCTGAAATAAATTTAACTAATATTAAATGCAGAACGAACGCTTTGTTCTGCAAAAGATAATGCCCTGGGCATTTGCCCATATTATTCATGTCAGAAATCACCACTCTCTGCACCTGTAAACATATCAATTGAGGCAATGCCCTGATGGTAAACACCGCTCAACTATGAACACTGACCAAAGAGCAACAAGCAAGAAATCACTAAGCACAAGGCGCTCACCATGACTGTTCTCAACTTCTCTCTCACTGCTTGAAGCCAGGCACCACACCACTTTGAACGAAAACAATCAAAGAGCAATGAGCATGCTCTGCGTGCTCTTTCGTTCTTGTGTTTTATTTATTTGCTAATTTGATGTAGTTATATTTGGAGATTGTCAGTTGGCATCAATAAACAAACTATCCCTTTTTAATGTGCTACTACATTTTTTCTGTATACTACAATAGAGTGTTAGAGCATGTGTTTCTTTTTTTTTTTACTTTTATGTAGTCTTAGCATCAGTATTATTCTTTCTTGGACTTGTGATGGGCGGTGTGTCCACAGCAGGTGGGGCGATTCAGGGGGAGGAGTCGGATGTTAGATGAAAACCCAGACCTCCTCGCTTTCAGTGACAGGCTATTGATTGGGATGGCAGTCTGGCCACCACTCTATTAAATCATATGCACTATATGTCTTGCTGGGGGATTATTGAGCTATTGACATTGTAGAAATGTAACAATAGAGATTACAGAGCCTGTTTCCTCTTTGGTTTGATGTATGGAGGTTATCTTCTGTATCATTCTACTTGGACAGGTTGGATTTAGAAGTGCTTGTATACCTTGTCTTGCATTATTTTGCAATGTCATTTTACTTTACACTCACACAAAGGCAGTGGCGGCTCCAGAATCTTTTTTTCCTGCAGGTGCATTTTACTGGGGGTGCTATGACGGATCTTTTTTACACTGTAGTTATCAGCATGCATGCATTAGTATTGCTATTTTAATCAGACTGATTTGCATTTATTTGACGCTTACACGTCAGCATCAAGCTTTGAATCATTAGCCAGATGACTTCCAGATAATATTACGTTGTTTAGATTGAAACAGCATTCATGACAAAGAGGACCCTTTGCAACTACCACACTGAATCATTCGAAGCGCCATGATGTAGATCGGACGTGAGAAACTGGAGTATTGAACTGAGCGGCTGAAGTTGTTTTCCCAAGTTGTTTTCTTCTATTAGTTCAAGTCAAGCAAATTTGTCTGTGAACGTAACACACCTGGTTGGGGCTCATAGACGGCGGTATTTACAGAAACCTGAAACAGCTAGCTTAGAAACCGACACGCGCCTCCTCCCTCCTGACGTGTTGATTAAATTATCGACTTTGCCTGAATTCAGACCACAAAATTTATGGCACAATGTCACAAACACTGTTTCCCCTTAAACCGGAGCAGCCTTAAAAATCTACAAAAGACGAGATGCTAATTTTTTTTTTTTCCATATGCTCGACTACATGACGGATCAACAATATAATTCAACAACTTATAAAAAAAAACAAAAAACATAATTATATATATTTTTTATTTTATTCTATTTAATTTCAAATTTGTGAAAATGTTCATAATTAGAGATAACAATAATTTGTTTAATATATTCATCTATAAATGTATATAGCTAAATATTTAACAACTTATTTATTGAATAGAGGTACCGTCTGACATTGTCGGTGTTTTTTATTATCGGTTCTAATTTTTTGGTTGCAGAAAATACTCAGGGGTATGAGAGGGGTTTACACTCACAACCCTAACAGTATAAAATGTTTACATTTGCTACACAATTGTAGTTACACTTTTGAAAGTTACCTCTCACTCTATTAGCATTGCAATTACAAGTTCCCACATTAGCAACCTGGTGAGGATGAACATGTTAATCTCAACACTTGGGAACAACAATTTCTTCAGGAATTTATTTTAAACCGTTAGCCTATAAGTGAATACCTGGAACGATGTTGTTGCCCCTAAAAATAAGGGTTGGCGACAACAATGTTGAAATGTAGCTGTGAGATTCCTTTGCATAGCAGGTTGTTTTGTCTATAAAAGGAGCCAGAGGCAAAATGCAGGGTTATTATTCCAGCAGTCCTATGATTTTCTAGCGTATGGAGCCTCTGTTCTGAAGCCATTTTATGTCTGCCAAGACCACTCTGACAGTTCACCTTAGAAGCGTCATCTGACTTTAATAGTGCCTGATAAAGACGTCTGTGTGGTTTGACAGCTGCCTTTGCCTTTGACAGGGCCTACACTACTGTAATTAACCCAACTTAGCAGTCTGTCATGTTTTCTCTTTCTCCATCTTTTCATCACTTTTTTCCCCCTTTCCTTTACAGCAAGCACTGAAGGAGAACTATAGGCAGAGGGAGTTGGAAGAGAAGCAGAGGAGAGCATGGGCCGCAAAGGAGAAGGCTGAGCGTGAAAAGCAGGAGAGACAGCAGAAGAAGAGGAGGTTACTGGAAGTCAGTGCAGGTAAAGACTGTTCAATTTACTTTGCCTGTCAACTCCTCGCAAAGATAAGGCTTTACAGAGAGCTGTGTGCCAAATCAATCTTGTTACAAATGGTGTTAGAGATCATTCAAATACAATGACTCTCATTTATCAAACAAACAAACATGTCTCAATTTAATGGATTACAGGAGACATCTGTTTTCTCGCAATGCACTGTTTATCTTCTGAAGTACAAAAAGCCACATCTGTAGAAAATAAATGTGTGTGTAATTTGATTGATTTTACATAATTGTAAGTAGACATTTTTGCTACTTGTGTCGTTAAGACCAGCCAAAGCACTTTGCAGGCTTGTGCAGATTAAGCCATTCACGCATTTTAAACAGTGAAGGTCAAACCACTGACCTTCCAGTTGGTAGAAAGTGTACTTCATCTTCTGAGCTCTGAACAATCCATGAGGTGACATTACACATTAAAAGAAAGAAATTTGAGTAGAAATTGGGGCGTGCTGTGGTGGCGCAGGGGGTTAGCACGTCTCACGTTTGGAGGCCTCAGTCCTCGACGCGGACGTCGCGGGTTTGACTCCCGGTCCTGGCAACCTTTGCCGCATATCTTCCCCCTTCTCCTCACCCTCTTTCCTGTCTTTCTACTGTAAAAAATACGAGCCACTCGCGCCACAAAAACTCTTCGGAGAAAAAAATGAAAAGAAATAAATCACACTGTTCTCGTCTTTTAAATAACAAAATTCTGATCTAATAATTTTATCAAAGTGTATTTACAAGACATGAAGAGAACATGTTTTTAGATGCCAGGCACAGTCAGTCTGTCTGTCATACAGTTATGATCAAAGGATCCTTTTGGGTGGTATTGGTTTTATAATTCTATATAAAAAATAAATTATTGTGAAACTACAACTCAGTAATAACGCTAAACAACTATTCATAAGATTTATCATTTCGCAGGTAATATTTAATATTTAACGTGCAGTTCTTTGTTCTTTACACAATTCTGTTCTTACTCTTTGTGACACTTTTTTTTGGATAATCAAATTTCAATGTCCTCCATATTAAACCGTCTTGTGCATTTGATAACATTTTTCACTAACTAACAGCATGAATTATGCTAAGAGATCTAAAAGAAACATGTCTCAAATTAAAGAATATTGAAAACAAACAAGAGTCAGTCATTGGCATTTAAAAGTCCAAAAAAATAACAAACCCACTTAAGAGTAATAGATATCCCAATATTTAAAATCCATTCTTTATTACTATAATAATTTTGAAGTCTCTAGTGTGGCTGTGAACAGTAATCAATCATTCAAAATCTGGACAAAAGCAACAAACTTTGCAGCTTTTTCCCCTCACATAATCTAGTAGTAGATTTGATCTTTAACAATTTCAGACTGAAAGCAAAGCAACAGTTTGGCTGCTCATTCTGAGAAAAAATAAAAACAGGCAAACATCTACTGAAAAGCAAGTCATGACTCGAGATTTGACTCAAATACACATTCCTATAACCCAAATCAAAATTCACAGATGCTAAACCAGGACAACACACTTAAAACAACTGATTCTGTTTAATAGTGCGTTCATAAGTAAAAAAAATCCAACATTAAAAGTTTAAAGATCAGATAATTCATCCATCATAAGAAAATTCACACATTGCAGGTTATTAGGTTTAAAAGATATAAAATAGTTAAATTATCCACATGTATAGATTTGTCATACATGTTTCAGATAAATCTTAATGGAGGCTGGAAGCTTTGCAGAGAGAAGAGGAACAGCTGTAGGAAAGAAACACAAAGCAACAAAAACACACACACACACACAAAAAAATAAAAAATCTAACGGTGGAAACCTCTTCATGATTGGTAGCTTATCAAGTGTAGTGGTTTAAAACAATTATGCAAAGAAAAGTAGGTCAGAATTTCTCCACCACAATGTAAAAGTTTTTGCCAGTGATTGCAGGCACTTTGTGGCTGTTGTTGCCACCAATTACTTTTTCACACCAGATAAATTTGATTTTGATAGCCTTTTCCTGAAATAAAAATCATTCAGCAGCTCTTTTATGTGAAGATGTAGGAGAACAAATACGTTTTCACAGCATCAAATATATGCTGGTGAAAGTTGGGCTTCATGCAGTAGTTGTGCTGTTATGTTGCCAAAATAACAATTGATAATATTTTTGTAAAGGCATTTTATTGACCAAAAGAATTTTGATTTGCCTAGTAAAGAGCTTTCACTCAAAATGCAACAAAATGGAAATAACGTGACCAAAGGGGAAAAAAAAAACCTTTGGCAAGTGGTGAAATTACACTTGTTTTATGATAATCTTGATTTTACATTTCAAGATTATAACACAAAACTGAAAAATTTATTGAACACCCCACCTTTCTGTCAGAAAAAAAAAAATTCTTGCTTTTGGCTGAGAATTTGCATTTACCAGCTAGTTGTTTTTTGCCCTGTTTTGCTTTGCAGTGCCAGAAGCTAGTTTGATGCCAAGGCTGGCAGAGCAGTTGTATCAGGCAGAGAGGCTTGAACGTGTATTTTAGGTGGAAAATATTCTATGTCAATTTAGCACTCCTGTGAAAGTTGGTAAACAGGCCAAAGAACTGTTGTGGCCATTTTGTCCAGTCAAACCATGCCAAATCTTTGCATTTTATTGTACCATTCAAATCCTACAGCAGTCACTTAGTATCTATTGATTTTTATGTTTTTTTTTTTCTTATCTTTATATGAACGAAGCACAAACTTTATAAGCACCAACTTCTGCATTTTGGTCAAGCCTTTTAATTGCATATGTGCAACTTTTCTTTAATCTGAAAATGAAAAGTTTTAAGAATCACTCTCATTTTTTCAGTAAATCAATTATATTGTGGAGAAGTTACTTTAAGCAGATACACAGGATAAATAGACACATAGATTTTATTTTTTATTTTTTGCTTTATTTGCTGTTTTGTAGCTAACAAAATTAATTCAGCAATAAGATTATTTAATATTCTTTGGATATGTCTTCAAAAAAATCCTAAAGCTGCTGTTGATCAGGTATTGAGTTAAGAAAAGTATTTTTGTGTAACACTTGGTTTTGTTGTTGTTGTTTTTGACAACAAGGTGTATTTTGTATTATGGAAGTGTATGCACACACATGTCTGTCAATTCTGAATTATTGTATTCTTAGAATGATGTACTCTGCTTGGTTAATTATTAAAATTGAATGTTATATGTTTTCTTTGCATGTCATTTGATGATGGGGTATGATAAAAGCTACTATAAACCTCTAGAGATTGTGTTCAATATTTTTCAAATTGTGGTTTGTCATTCTGTTGTGTTTTTAAAATTAAAACAAAGATGTTGTTTTATAATTAAGAAATGTATTGAAGAAAAAAATTGTGTACATTAACTGTACATTTTCCCCACTAACATGGTGATGTTAGTTCTTTGTCTTTTTTAACTCAAATATTTGATGGGTTTTTATATTTAGGAACACAATTACCTTCAGTTTTTGGAAGAAATTTTATTGAACAGTTTATATATATATTTTTTTCTGACCTTGAGCAAAATGCACCATGTTTGACGTAAAAAGACCCTGACATAAAGCACACACGTACAGCATCAACAGAATGATTAGAAAGAAAAGACCCTGTTTTCAAGTGCCTTAGTCAGAATCCTGACCTTCATCCAACTGAGTTGCTATGGCATAACCTTAGGTGGGCTATTTGACATTATCAAGGCGTCCCAGAAATACAAGTAAAAAGAAACGGCTTTAAGGAAAGAATGGTCCATAAGTCCTCTTTATTGTTGTGAAAATTCCAAAAGCAGCTATAGAAAAGTGCTTCTGAAGGTTGTTTCTGAAATATGTCTCCATGAATTACTATACTCAGTATGTCACCTGTTTTTCTGCCTCTTTTGTGAGTGAAAAGTTTGCTTATAAAAGAAAGCAATAGCCAAATACATTATTTGTGTATTATTTGTTCAGCCAGTTTGTGTTTGTCCATGTATATATTTAAGAACACAAGATATTTAAGAACACAAGAGGACTCAAGTCAGCCTGCATTGTGTGGATAATCAATTCCAAAATCATGGCAACTGCAAAGAACTCAAAACTCTTGCTCCTGTGGGCCACTATGGATTGTGTTTGAACTATACTTTGATTTCCATTGACTGATTATTAGTGCTTTCAAGTTGTCATCTTGAGGTATTGTCAGTGAGGTTAATTAGGGACTTTAACTTAACATTTAAGGCATATCAAATAATGGGTATCCAAGATTTTCAGTGGGATTTTTTTTGTTACATTTTCACATATAAATGTTGCATGACTTGGGTCGACCTCAACTAACTGATATTTGACTGTTGTTTGATGGAGGAGCAATGAGAACTTTTGATTAGATAACTTTGCTTGAAGCATGCAATCAAAATGCATCCAGTGAATGCAGACGTAACAAATATTTAGTATTTATAGTGGTTATATGTTGAAAAATTCTCTGATTTTGTAAGCTATTTGAAATCTATGAAGTTGCACCCAAATACTGAGAGAACCCCCCCCTATAATCTTAAGACCAGAATACAAAATACCATGAAAAAAATTACGATATTCCAAGCTTTTCAAGCTGTGTGTTAACATTTTTAGTGAACCATAGTTAGATAAACTGTTCTGTTCTGGAAATATCCGGTGTAAAATTAGGCTGTTAAAGACATCATTTTGTAATTATAATTACCATCATAAATGGTTTCTTCATCAAATAACCTTTGTGTTATTTAACAAGTAACAAAGTGTTTACTGTCAGTCACAATAATCCGGTTTCAGTACTGTAAACCAATAAAATAAACCAAACCACAAGGGAATTTATTCTTTATTGGCAGTGTCAAATTGTGTTTTATTACAAACTTTTTCATTTAAAAGTAAGATTTCATAACATTTTTACCTCAATGACTGTTATTAAATTAGGCAAAACCTTTCCTGTTTCAAACAAGTTAAAAATATCAGTGATTCATAAATGTTAGTATGGGAAGCAAAGTTATTAAAGA